AAAAGTAATCTTCTAGCTTTACTCTAAGCAGCTAATTGATATTATAACCAAACCCGAAAGTCGCTGGTTTCCCATTAGTTTTAATTCGTTTCAGTGTGGAGAAATATCTTTCCACACTGGCTGTAGTGACCGGTAGTGTCAACAAAATCTTCAACAAAACATTGATTGTTGGAAAATACGTCGAGTCACATTTATCAAGCAGCCCAAATGCCTCAAAATTCTTGTTAATATATATGGATGTCCGGCACCAGAGCTCGTATTCCACCTTTACCTGCAACCAGCCAGTGATGCAAAATATCATGACACTCACGTGACACTCGTCTTCGCATCAACCGACTATCGCTGACAGATCGTTTTCTCACGCTCTGAGAGTTAGAGCTATGGCAAACAACAATCACCAGTAATGGTCGCTGCTCACAAGCAAAACGTTACACTCGCTGCTGATGATGAAAAGCATAACGAAAACAGTGAAGAATTCTGCACGATGATGAGAAAAAGCGAAGTGACAGAAGAAAATGAAAACAATGCCTACGCATTCCAAGTTCGTCTCGGCAGGTGCGACTGTGTGAGTTACAAACAAAGCAGGCAACATGAAACGGAAGCTGTTGGGCTCACTCACCAACACACTCAAATAAGCAAGCAAAGCAGCAACTGCTTCAAAACGAGCACAGATGAGTGTCGTGATTGTCGGGAATGACCAGATCGGTGATGGATCACAACAGAAGACGACATTCACCAGTTGCTTTTTACTTCTTTCGTCAACTTGATGGATGGTCAGCTTCGACGAGCACATTGATAGGAATGTACAAAGCGTTACTACCATCAACTGTTTGGCGATCGTGATTGTGATAGGTCGCAACTCTGACAACCACGCTGGTGAAATCACAGAGATAACAGTTAAGTTTGTCAAGTTGGGATAACTCTCCAATATCTGTAAAACCAGGCAACAATATTTGGAACACCGGAAGGATGTCATCATTTTTTGTGAAACGTCCCATCATGTTTTGGATCAATCCATCGAGTCATGGAATGAAAACTGCTCCTCGATAGTATTCCTCTGGTGTTTCTACTGATTGATTTGCACGTATTGTTTGCTTGGATGCACGTGAATGTAGTCGTAACTGCGCATTCGAAAACAGACATATGCAGCTTTGAGGTTGCATTAAAAATTTCAGCAAATTTTGCTCCACCGTCAGCTCGTCTCTCCTTAAAAACCTGTATTATACTGTTCGCATGATTAAGAGCCGATATGAGGTCCACATATTTAGATTGTAATCCTATTGAAAGTGGTTGTGTTGAAAGATCACATTGATGTAATAAATAAATAAGATGTTTGTATCCTTTTATAAACAGAAAATGCATACTTTGCCTGGAGAATAAACTTCTAATATTTAAATAAGTTTTTAGACCGGTCCTGCTTTATACTGTGCCAATATGGTCTAGAAGATGATTTTGAAATTGCCTCCCTAGAACAGTACTACCGAAGTACATAGAATTTTGAATGTTGAGACTTTAGAACACATCTAGATAGAGCTGGAATTTGGGCGTAACAGCTTTTGTAAACAATGAATTCTCTCGTAGATTTCTAGCAACTCAAAGCACCCCTACACAAATCAACTTATCCATCGGGTAGGGGAAGTCTTCCCCTATTCGATGGTAATGTTAATTTGCCAGGAAGAGTCATGTCTTTCGAAAAATCATCGAGAGAAGCCATTGTTTACAAAAGCTGTTATGCCCTAATTTCAGCTATATCTAGAAATGTCCAACAAAATGATTAATAATTTTAAGGAAAAATCGTTGCAATCTTCAATTGCAACGATTAATTACCTTTATACATAGATAAGATATAGTTTTAGTTTTGGTGTGAATTGTTATACTGACATGCAGGTTTAGAAGACCTGTTTAAAATACTGAATTTCTAAGGCAGGAACAATGTAAAATCACTTAGATTTATATCATAAAAATTGCAACAGATAAGTTACTAGGTGGCTTGAGCACCTGGGTTAAAACGAAAAGTAATTTATTTTGAATTTTGAACAATTAAAGAGTTAAAATCTAAATAGAAACAATGTGTGACTCTTTATTAAATCCAATGGTACATATGGAAAGGTAAATAAATTAAGAAGTCATTTGTTGTAGAAACATTCTATTTTGTATGAAATCCTGCTTGAAAAAGAGGGGTACAGTGCGGATTGTGTTTAGAAGGCTACAAATTGGGTCTACACCCTAGTTCCTACGGAAGTGAAACGAGGCTGATCTTTCATAAAAACTCGATGGTCCCATGATCTTTAACAGAATCGCTGCAAACATAAATTGTTCATGCACACTATATAGGTACAGCCCGAGTCTCATTTTAGAGGGGGCTATAGGCCTGAAGCCTCGTCCATAAATTAATTTAAAATAATATGAAAAATAAAAAAACCTTACTTAGGTAATGGATATCTATTTACCCTGTACAGTACAGGTAACAGATATCTATTATCTTGGGTCAGATTTTTTTATCACATGATTATAATAATTGGGGGGGGGGGCTTCAGCCCCATAGCCCCCCTCCATGGCTACGTGCCTGACTTGAATAGCGTAAAAGGGTACCCACATAACAACAGCATACTCTAGAAGACTGCGGACGAGAGCACAGTATAGTGATTTCAGCGCGTAGATGTCCTGTAATGCGTTTGTGTTTCGTTTCAAGAAACCTAATGTGGCGAATGCTTTAGCAGTTATCATGGAGATGTGCTCATTGAATCTGACTTTAGAGTCGATGATAACACCCAAATCCTTAACTGAAGAAACGAAGAGCAAACTACTGAGTCCTATCCTATAGTCATGTCGTAAGGGCTCGCGTGAACGGCTAAAAGATATTGCGCAGCATTTTGTGACATTAACCTGCATACCGTTCAATGTACACCAGCGCAAAAGGGAATCAATATCCTTCTGGAGTGCACAACAGTCAAGTCTTGACTTAATTGTACGAAAGATCTTTAAGTCATCGGCGAACATAAGTTTCGAAAAACACAGTCGACTACACAGATCGTTCACGAACAGGATGAAAATTAAAGGCCCCAAATGGCTACCTTGGGGAACACCAGAGGGTATCTCGAAACTAGGCGAATTAACACCGTTAATGCTCACATAGGCTGAGCGGTCAGTTAAGTAAGACTGTAGCCACTTCGTGGCCCAATTAGGTAATCCCATACACCTCATTTTGTCCACTGCAAGCGCATGTGGAACCCTATCGAACGCCTAACTGAAGTCCACGTAGATCGCATCAACTTGTCGTCGTTTTTCAATGGAGTTGATCAGCGAGTTGACAAACACCATTAAGTTGGTTGTTGTAGAGCGTTTCCTCACGAAGCCGTGCTGATGTTCGGTAATTATTGGCCTAACCGCTTGATATACGACCTCATATACGATCTTCTCCAGAGCTTTTGGGAGGCAGCTTAGAATCGAAATTCCGCGATAATTTTCAACGTTGTGGATGTTTCCAGCTTTGTGAATAGGTGTGATGGACGCAACCTTCCACATTGTGGGGAAAACACCACTAACTAGCGAACGATTGAAGATAATCGACACAGGTGAAGCGAGAGATGCAGAAAATTTCTTAATGAATGATGGCGGCAAACAGTCTGGCCCAGGGCCTTTAGAAGGATCTACAGATGAAAGAACTTTCATCACTTCTTCAACAGATACATCCAACTGCGGCAAATGCAAGTTGTAATGAGCTATGCTGCTCATCCAGTCACGACGATCATCCGGAGAATGAGCGGGGGTGTAGTCGAAAAACATCCTTGAAGAATTGTGCGAAGAGATCAGAAGCTTCTTCCGCGGAGTCAGCACGAGCTTCTTTATAGGACACATCGAGTGGTATACCGCCATTCCGCCTAAGTTTCGTAGGTCCAAAAAGACGATGGATCCCGCTTTGCCTCCGACTCAATGCGCAATACATATTCATGGAAAACTGTGTTCAACCGGCTGGTGTAGTGCTCCTCCATGTCGTGAAGTAATCGCCTGTTTTCCTCAGTCCGTTTTTTGAAAAGACGTTTCCTTGCTTTCCGTAACCTGTTTCGGAGGTTCCTAAGTTCCGTGGTCCACCATGGTTGATTGTAGTGAACACGGAGGCAATTTCGTCGAATAAATTGCAGTGCGGACGAAACTTGACTGGACAATATACGGCTCTCAAGGAAACGACGATCCGTCAGCAGGTTTCCCTGGCCATCACGTATCTGGTGAACTAACAGACCAGGGCCTACAAGAACTTCTTCGAATACAACCATTGGAGACCGCTTTGAGACGGGCCTCTTATGGAAGAACGACAACCCGCAACTACCAGACAGCTTCCCGATGGTGCTGAAGTGCATGAAAAGTCTGGAGCGTAAATTAGCAAGAAATCCGGAACTGCAGCAGAACGTGTAGAAGAAAATTGAAGACTACCAAGGTAAAGACTACGCTCACATTGCTACTCCAAAAGAAATAGAACTGAATGGAGCTGGGTCCCGTCGAAGAATAACATAGCCGACGTGCTAACTAAATGGGGAAACATCGGTCAACCATTAGAAACTAGTGGCAATTGGGCAATGGTCCTGATTTTCTGTATTATCCCGAAGAAGAATGGCCACACCAAATGTGGAAGCAGAGCTGCGGGCGTATCATTTTTTCTACGAAATTTCGTTCCCTTAGCTGCTAGTAAGCGGTGCCGGTGGTGTAGTGGTAAGCGTGATTACCTCTCACCCCAGCAGGCCTAGGTTCAATCCCAGTCGGCACCGCCGGGATGTTCTGAGGCATAACATCTCTGATCACGCCTTCCTTCGGAAGGGAAGTAAAGCCGTTGGTCCCCGGTTCATGAGTTGATGGGTCGATAGGTAGGGTCCAGGTGTGGGAGCTGCCTTCCTGGCGTCGGTAGCATTGGTGCTCAGCACGGAAAACAAGATCGACGGAAAACAAATCAAGGGAAAAAAAAGCTGCTAGTAGACACCACTCGTTTTTCACGCTGGAGTGCCTTGATGAGATGCGTGGCTTGCGTGTTCCGATTCATTTCGAACTGCCGCAGAAAGGAGAAGATGCTGCCAATCAAAACTATTAAAGTCACACCCGAGTTGGAGAAGTTGCTGAAAACTTCATTGTTGGCAATGAAGATCCCCCTGAAGTGCGAAGAACATCGACAAGCGGAGAACTACATGTGGAAAACTGTGCAGCAAGAAGGATTTTCGGATGAAGTCAAGACGTTGCTGAAGAATCGTGAGCTGCCGCAGGCTAAGTGGCACAACATTGCACAATCGAGTTCACTAAACAAATTGTCCCCTTTTCTTGATGAATTCGGGGTAATTCGAATGGAAGGGCGGTCGGCCCATGCATATTCCATCGCCTTCGAGCAGCAGTTCCCCATTGTGCTTCCAAAGGGCCACGACGTCACCTCCAAACTTCTTTTTCACTACCATAGAAAGTTCGGCCACGGAAACCGTGAGACAGTGGTGAACGAACCTAGGCAACGTTTCTACGTCCAGAACATTCGAGCGGCAGTGCTGCAGGCGATGAAGAGCTGTGCGTGGTGCAAAATCAACAAGTGCCAACCAGCAGTTCCCAGGATGGCACCTTTGCCTGTACAACGCCACACTCCACAGCTATGTCCGTTTAGCTATGTAGGGATCGTCACGGTTGGACGACGATCGGAGAAGAGATTGATTTGCCTGTTCACCTGCCTAGCGGCCCGGGCAATCCACATGGAAGTCGCTCATAGCCTAAGCGGCCAGTCATGCGTGTTGGCAATCAGGCGATTTATTTGCACCACTGAAGTTCTTTTCAGACAACGGCACGAATTTCCAAGCGGCCAGCAAGGAGCTGGAACAAGAGGTGCGTCGTATCGATCTGGAGTGTGCAAACGTTTTCACCGTTGCCAGGACCCAGTGGACCTTCAATCCACCTGCAGCGCTGCAAATGGGTGGCATTTGGGAGGGATTAGTTAGATCGGCGAAAGAAGCACTTACTCACTGTGCTGGCTGAAGCTGAAGACATGGTGAATTCTCGGCCGCTCACATATGTACCACAGGAATCAACAGTTATCGAAGCCCTCACGCCGAATCACTTCCTCCGCGGTTTACCTGCTGGAGGGCGTGAAGAGGCTCACGTACCGACAAATTCGGCCGAAGCGTTGCGGGACAACTACAAGCGGTCCCAGGAGCAGGCGGATATGCTGTGGCAGGGGTGGCTGAAGGAGTACATACCTACCATCAATCATCGTACCAAGTGGCACGGAAAGCAGACACCAATCCAAGAAGGAGAACTGGTGTATGTAGTCGATGGGAACAACCGTAGAACCTGGATCGGAGGAGTTGGGGAAAAGGTTATTCAAGGCGTTGATGGAAGAGCACGACGAGCACTGGTGAGAACATCAAAGGGAGTGTATCGACGTGCTGTCGCCAAGCTTGCGGTGATGAAGTTGCGGTGATGAAGTTGCGGTGATGAAGTTGCGGTGATGAAGTTGCGGTGATGAAGGTGATGAAGGAGTAAATCTGGCCAGAGACATGGTCCCGGACAAGAGTTACGGGAGGGAGAATTGTTGGGCGCACCGGTAGGAAATTTATGTGAGGAGGAAACGTCATGGCACGTGACAGTTGTCAACCGGAAAGGTTGACGTTAGGGATCAACCAAGAAGAAGAGGGATCACAGACACAAAGTGAAAAAAGGATCGAAAAGTTAAAAAATTCTAAAATTGCTCAAAAGTTGTGAAATCTAAAGCTAAACAGCAAAAAAATAATTTTAATATCACATCAAATTGGATGCACATCAATCAAGTCAAAAATATGGTGTAATATTACTTGCCAAAAAGGACACAATTATCATTAAAACAATGCATGAACTGACATTACGCTGCTTTTACTGCATTTGTTTATTGTTGTGACCATAAAAATTACCTGAGATTTTCGACATGATTGAAGTGCATCCTCTTCGATGTAATATTAAAATTAATTTTTTGCTGTGTAGGAACAAGGTTGCAAAGACTCATTTCAGCTAAAATAATGTTTTTCGGAATAATAAAACCAAAAGATGGTATGATGGCATGTTTTACTTGTAACTTACAAGAAGAGGTTACAAAGTATGCGTTGGAAACATAAAACCTGTAAATTTTGCTTTCTATGAGTCACAATCAGCGATTTGCTGATCGCTGAGTGAGTGAGTGAGTGAGTGAGTGAGTTTGTGAAAAATCGCTGATTGTGACTCTCATGAAGTGAAATAAACAGGTTTAATATGTCAAACACATTCTTTGCAACCTCTTCTTGTATCCTACCAATTCAAAATTTGATCATGGCATCTAATTATTTCATAATTTAGAAAAACATTGTTTTAGCTGAAATGAGTCTTTGCAACCTTGTGTAGGAATAATTAAAAATAAAGTGAATTATAAATTACTATTGACTTATTCGTAAGTAACAATGAATAGTTTTTGTTAAACCTTAACCTTGACTTAAAAATATTTATCTAGGCGCAGACAAAGTTGATTGAAGGAATTTGTTTGGAACCACATTAAGAGAATTATTAATGTGAGTCGATAAATTAACTATAAATTTAATAGAGACTACCAAAATTATTTCAAGTTTTTTAGCTGTATGCTACGGACTGCTCTAAGAAAGTGAATTCTTCAATTTGACTTCAACAATAATCACCACACATTTTGAATTATCGGGACTTAATTCGATTCTTAAAAACTAGTTTACTAATATTAAAATCAAAAGCATCACACACATCATTCAACAGTTTGCGACATTTGTCGAGTGGGTTGTTATAGCAGTATGGTGTCCAAAAGTCCACAAGAGATACAAATTGCAGTGACGATGGACTGGAGCGTAGAAGTTGATGTCCCGGTGCACACTACTGCAGTCAATATGATTACTAGTCATGTCAAAAAAAGTTAGTCTCTTCAGAAAGCAGTCCAATAAGCCCACATTTGTGTTCGTATGGTGGTAGGTTATCGGGATTGGTCCATGGAAGCTGTCGTAAGGCGAATCTGATCTAACGTTTCTGGATGCATGATATGGATCCCAGATTTGTACTCCATATTCAAGATTCCACTCATCGAGCCCATTCCGTAGATACCCATATTGCATGGGTTTAGATCAAGGGGTAGGTCATTCCGCACACCAATCTTTGGTCAACATTTTTCTTAGTGTGCCGGCAGAGCTGAGCATAGAGCAGGCCGCGATTTTTCTAAAAATACGAATAGTATGGTATATTTGGCAACCCAGTATTTCTGACAGTTTGAATGTTTAGGTTTGCAATCGCACAGGCCCCGAAAATGTTGAATATCGTGCTCGATAAGGATTCCTTCTACTGACAAATAAAACGCCTCTTCGCTAGCTGGAAGGAACCAGAGTTTTCGCATGATGATTCGCTGCAGAAGGTGGATTGCATTCTGACGGCAGTCAGCGTAGACGAGGAAAGATGCCAGATTTTTTTCTATGAAATTCCGTAGACTTATTCAAATCTACGGAATTCTACGGATTTTTTTTAGTCGATGGTGATATTTTTTTTTAGTTCTAAGGTGATATTTTAGGTTAAATGATAAACCGATGAAAGAACTTTTGAAAAACTACTAGGGACAGCCCTCTGGGATTGTACGCAATGGTGACGTCGGACTACGTGGTCTTATATAATAAATGTTATTTGTTAATTGCAGCAGGAGGTTGTGTTTTGTGTAGGAATAGGAATTTGATCGGGGTTCTCTCTGTTTATACTCATTACAATGACTATGATTGCCCTCAAAAGAAGCTTTTGATATGAATTTTAGTTGGGACATGTTCAGAACTTTAACTCTTTTGGAAAATCTTTGTGGCCCTGAAAAGGGCCGATGGTAGTACAGACATGAATACCATGATACTGTTGCACCTGTAGTTTTTGGCATACTTTCACTAATTGCTTCCCAGCGATCCTTGTTCAGCCATAGCAAGATGTGCGCGTGAGGACTTCAACGGTGCTGAAATTCAATCGTGTCAACCAGCTTGTTGAAGTACACACAGCACGTGACTGGACGTTGATCAGAGTTGCTCTTTGTAGTGCAGTCAATTCCTGGATAGGATCTGTTAAGTCATTGTCATTGTGTCCTTCTGACAATCGATGTAGGAGATTCAACAAATGTGGTCACATCATCTCATTTGCACTGAGTGTGAGGAACATCGTAGACTTTCCCAATTGTCACATCATGGTGAACAAATTTCTCTTCCTTTGTTGCCAATACTGTACTGAATTCGGTATTGATTTGAGGAAGGATAGATTTCACTCAATGCACTGCTCCATGAATAAGGCGGTCCTTAAGGTTGACACGTGTGATGTTTACGGTCCCCGGGAACTTAAAAATGCATTGCAAGCCTTCGGAAACTCTAAAGCGAAGAACTTTCATTGTCATATAATGGGTGATACGGTCAAAATTTGGTCAAGGGAAAACGCGTGTAAATCGGTGAAATCGTTTATTTAAAAAATCAAATTAAATTTCTTTTTCAAGTTCAATTAGTATAAAATTCAGGAAAAATATTCAGTTAGGCTTCCGCTTTTCCAAATCCGAATTGCCGGGCCTTACGCTTGACCCCTGCCATCAGATTTTGTACAGCCACCTTGTCCACCTTCTTCGCCGCAGAAAGCCAGTTTGCCTTGAACTGCTGCTCGCCCTTAGCAGTTTTTTTGGTCTTCTTTAGGTTCCGCTTGACAATAGCCCAGTATTTCTCAATTGGGCGGAGCTCTGGCGTGTTGGGAGGGTTCTTGTCCTTTGGAACCACCTGCACGTTGTTGGCGGCGTACCACTCCATGGCCTTTTTACCGTAATGGCAAGATGCCAAATCCGGCCAAAACAGTACGGAACAACCGTGTTTCTTCAGGAAAGGCAGCAGACGTTTATTCAAACACTCTTTCACGTAAATTTCTTGGTTGACAGTCCCGGAAGCTATGAAAATGCTGCTTTTCAAGCCACAGGTACAGGTGGCTTGCCAAACCAGATATTTCTTTGCGAACTTTGACAGTTTCATGTGCTTGAAAACATCTGCTACCTTTCCCCTTCCTTTTGCCGTATAAAACTCCTGTCCCGGAAGCTGCTTGTAGTCGGCTTTGACGTAGGTTTCGTCGTCCATTACCACGCAGTCAAACTTCGTCAGCATCGTCGTGTACAGCCTCCGGGATCGCGCTTTGGCCGTCGTATTTTGTTTATCATCGCGATTTGGAGTCACTACCTTCTTGTAAGTCGATAGTCCGGCTCGTTTTTTGGCTCGATGCACGGTTGTAGACGATACACCCAGCTTATTTGCGGCATCTCGGAGAGAGAGGTTAGGGTTTCGCTTCAAACTACCGGCAACTCTCTTTGTCGTCTCAGCGGCTTCCGGTTTTCTATTTTCCCCCGATACAGACTTCCTAGCTGTCGACAAACGTTCCCCAAACACTTTAATTACATTTGTAACGGTTGATTTGGCAACTTTTAGCGATTTTGCCAACTTTGCGTGCGAGTAGCTCGGATTTTCGCGATGCGCGAGCAAAATTTTGATACGCTGCTCTTCTTGCTTGGACGGCATTTTGACAAATGAAGAGTGAATTCCAAAATCAAAATAGGAGCAACATTCTACACACACACACCTTCAAAATGAGGGGTGTTCAGGTTTTTTAAATGCAAAATTGAAAGAAATACGTCAAGTTGATATTGACCAAATTTTGACCGTATCACCCTTTACAACAAATGTTGTGGTTTGGCCACACGCCTGTCTTGACGACGAGTTTCACTGGATGCCATCATGCAATATGTCACCCAAACCCCTGGTTTGAATTTCCGTAGATGGCCGAAACATAGGGCAGGAAAAGCTATCTCTTCGCCGTGCTCGTCATATATTAATGACAGAAGAAACCTGTTTTGCGCGGGAGTGGTCTCCAGGCATTTGTCCTCATTCCAAAGAAGCGTTTCCTATTGCCCAAGCAGCAATTCTGTCTCATTATCCAAGGCAATGGTTTCCAGCTCAATTTTAGGATCCACTGCAGGGGTTTCAAGACCATCTATGGCGATCTGATCAATTGTGATCCCGTAGTGGCGGTACAGTGGTGTCGTAATCTAATAAGAAAGCCACGCTTTAACCGTAGTTTCCTTTATAAAGCTGGACAAGTACGACGACTTATGGATTACGTGCTTATTGATGAGCACGTTGAAGGCCTGATCATCATCGAGCTGACGGGGAAGAGAGCGTCGTCTCCCTTACACAACGCAAACGATGGAACAACATTTGAGCAAAAAGAAAATTATTAAACTACTATCATATGACATATGTGATTTCGGTCTAATTCCTCAATTTGGTGTAAATTAAACCATTTCTGATCAAACATGTTATTACTAGGACATCGTTGCTTGCTATTTTCAGA